ATCAACATTGTTGGTAAAAGTAAACTTTTCTCCTAAAAAATTTTATTCTTCTTCCTTTCTTCCATGCATGTGTACAGAATCTACCAGTATGTATTCTATAGATAATACAGCTTTAGGATTATAATCCACAAAGTCATTTACAGGTCACTTAAATGTTTTGAAGTTCATGGTCTTATATATGGTAATTAGGTTCCTGAACTATTGTAGAAGTCTTCTTCATATTGAAGAAGGAAACTCTTAAGCAGACATAGATTCAAATTAGGGTTCTACTACTTGTTATCTGTATAACATATAATTTATATAATAAGATTGCAGTAAGTATTACCTAAGATGGTACATTTGTAAGTATGCTTGTCGATCCTTGATATTTATTCTGATTTTCTCCAACTTTTTATTTTGAAAAATTACAAACTCACAGAAAAGGTACAAGAATAATAAAGTGAATATTTATGCGCTCTTAATGAAATTTCATCAGTATTTCACCACATTTGTGCGTACACATTCCTTTTCTTTCACTTAGTATGTGTATGTGTTTGTATCCTACACATGAGTTTATACACACAAATACACATCTGCTGAATCATTTTCAGAATAAGTTGGCATTTTTCTATTCTTGATTTAGATTAATACAGTTTGAATCTGTCACACTCCTTTTTGGATTTAGCCTTTAATTGTCAACCCTCTCTCTAGGGGCCTGTCCATTCTCTTTCCAATTTCTAACATCCAATAGCCTTTGGGAGTTGTAATTCAGCTTAGATGCAGGGCAAACAAGGTCTTCTTACTTAGGATAAAGAGTTTGTGCCCAGAAAACAGAATATGAAATGTCATTCACCTTATTTTCATTCTTTCGTGGAATGAAAGAAGTAAAGTGGAATGAAGGATGTAAAATTTTCCCTTTTTGCAGATGGTATGATCTTATATATACAGAATTCACCGTAAAGCTATTTGAACTAATAAACAAATCTACTGTAGTTGCAAGATTCAAGATCAAAAACTAGTTGTACTTCTGTACACTAATAATCAAACCAAAAATAAAATTAAGCCACCAACTCCATTTAGCATCCAAAAGAATAAAATACCTAGGAATAGGGGCTCCTGGGTGGCTCATTGGGTTTAGCATCTGACTCTTGATTTTGGCTCACAGTTCAAGCCGAACAGTTCAGCTCACAGTTCATGAGTTCAAGCCCCACTTTGGGCTCTGTGCTATCAGCGCAGGGCCTGCTTGAGATTCTCTCTCTCCTTGTCTCTGCCCCTCCCCTGCTCACACACTTTCTCTCAAATAAACTTCTTTTTTTTTTTTTTAATTTTTTTTCAACGTTTTTAATTTATTTTTGGGACAGAGAGAGACAGAGCATGAACGGGGAGGGGCAGAGAGAGAGGGGAGACACAGACCGAAATAGGCTCCAGGCTCTGGAGCCATCAGCCCAGAGCCCCAACATCGGGAATCACGGACCCGCGAGATTGTGACCATGAAGTCGATCAACTGATCATGCCCACCCAGGCGCCCCTCAAATAAACTTCTTAAAAAGCTACCTAGGAATAAATTTAACTACAAAGTGTCAGACATATATACTGGAAACTACAAAGCATTGCTAAAAGAAATAACAGAAGACCGAAATTACAGATTCAGTGTTCATCAGTCAGAAAACTTAATGTTGTTAAGATGGCAAAACTCCCCAAAGCAATCTTCAGATTCAGTGCAGTCCCTATCACAATTCCAGTGGCATCTTTTTGCAGAAATGGAAAAGTTGATCCTCAAATTTTCTGTATAATTTCAAAGAACCCCAAATAGTGAGAACAGTATTAAAAAAGAAGAAGAAAGTTAGAGTACACACACTTTTCATTTTCAAAACTTACTACAAAGCTACAGTATAGAACTGGTACAAGGTGGACATACAGACAAATGAGATAGAATTGAGAGTCCAGAAATAAACCCAAATATCTATAAGCAATTGATTTTCAGCAAAGGATGCCAAGACCACTGAATAAGGAAATATTACTTTTTTCAAAAAATGGTACTAACACAACTGGATATCCACATTCAAAAGAATGAAGTTGGACCTCTACCTTCTACCAACCATATACAAAAATTAACCCAAAATGGATCAGTGATCTAGGTGTGAGCTGAAACTATATACTCTTAGAAGAAAATACAGGGTTAAATCTTCACTACCTTGAATTTGGCATTAGATTCTTAGATGTGACGTCAAAAGCATGACAAAAGAAAAAAAAATTAAGATAAATTAGACTTCCTCAAAATTAAAAACTTGGACATTAAGAGGTAAAAAGACAGCCTACAAAATGGGACATGCAAATCATGTGTCTGGTAAGTGTCTAGTATAAGAACTCTTTCTTTTAATGTTTATTTCTTTTGAGAGAGAGAGCACATGTGCATGAGCAGGGGAGGGAAAAAGAGAATTCCAAGCAGGTTCTGCACTGTCAGCACAGACCCCAACACGGGCTTGATCTCACGAACTGTGAGATCATGACCTGAGCCAAAATCAAGAGTTGCTTGCTTAACTGAGCCACCCAGGTGCCCTGGTGTATAAGAACTCTTACAATATAACAGTAGGAACACAACCCAATTTAAAAATGGTCAAAGGACTTGAATAGATGTTTTTCTGAAGAAGACATTACAAAGGGCCATCAAGCCCATGAAGAGATACCCAACATCATTAATCATTCGGGAAATGGTAGTCAAAACCACAATAAGATACTAGTCCATACTAGTATGGCTACAATTAAAAACAAAAAACTAGTAAGAAGTGTTGATAAGGGTGTGATTGGAATCCTCATACATTGCTGGTGGGAATGTAAAATGGCCCAGCCATTGTGGAAAACAGTTTGCCAGTTCCTCAAAGAGTTAAAGATAGAATTGCCATATGACTCAGCATTTCCACTCCTAAGTATTACCCAAAAGAATTGAAAACAAGTATTCAAATAAATGCCCATACACAAATGTTCATAGCAACACTATTCACAGTAGTCCAAAGCGAGAAACAACCAATGTGTCCCATTAGTGAATAAATGAATAAACAAATTATAGTATGTCTATACAATAGAATATTATTCAGCCCTACAAAGGAATGAAATACTGATACAAACTACAACGTGGATACACTTCAAAAACATGTGAAGTGAGAGAAGCCAGACACAAAAGGTCACATATGATTCCAATTATATGAAATACTCAGAATAGGGAAATTCATAGAGACAGCAGATAAGTGGTTGCAGAGGCTACAGGAATGGAAGTAACTGTTTAATGGGTACAGGGTTTCCTTTGGAGGTGATAAAAATGTTCTGGAACTAGATGGTGATGGTCACATAATGAATATACCACATATCACTAGTTGGAAACTTTGCAGTGGTTATCTTTATGTTATGTGAATTTGTGCCTTTTTAAAGCTGAAACACAAGTTGTTTAAAATCATTAAATAGCGTGATAAACTGAAAAGAGAGTTTTTCTTGATTATTAGAATAGAGGCAGGAACTGGGCTACTGATGACTTCTATTACAAAGTTCTACTGATTCTTTCTGACCAGAGCTGAGGTTTATTTGTTAGTACCTTTCTGATATTCATGAGTATGGTCACGGCAGGTATTAAATATGGGGTAGGAGAGTAGTATATGTATCAGAGGAATCATAGCCCTTTTCACATGAGAGCATCCTCTCAACTGTATCCAGCACCTTTTCCAGTTGAAATCTTTTCCCCTCAGCTACCAGAAGGCTTGGAACCAAATTCTGCCAAGTTAACTTCATTTGCTTTATGATAGGGTCACTGGTTTAGTAGGTCAGGGCTGCTGAATCTCTGGGTTTCAGTGAAGCACTTGATAAAGTTTCATGCCATTGTAGCATACCTTAGGGATCTCCTTAGGCTTGTCATCCTCATGTCTTCTTTTGGTCCCATTTTTTATGCCCCAGTACTAAAAAGGCTAGCAAATGCATTGGTTAACAGACTCAGAATCTAAAACAGATAGAAATGATAAAATATAACGAGGTTAATTTGATCAGGTAAATGTTAACTGTTGTACTTGGAACTAAAAAACACAACTGAAAAAGGTAACCATTGAAGGGACAAGACTTAATAGCAACATCTGCAATAAACAGTAACAGCGTGTGATCACTCCTCACCTCTTAATATGAGCTAGCACAAATGGGTTGTTTAAATGTAGTGTTGAAAATGACTCTGCACTAATCAGGTCACATCTGGGGCATTGTCATCCATTCCATTTTACAAGACACTTTGACAAACTGAAAATAAATCCAGAGGTCTTATGTCAGAGATGATGAGGATTACATTCAAACCCCCATGTCATGAAGCACAGTTGAAGGACACAGGAATGGCTTGTCTTGAAAATATTGGCAGTCTTTAAACAATGAAAACTATCCTAAAAGAAAAAAAAGAAGAAAGAACAGAATTGACTGCCTTGTATGGTCATGAAAGCATTCAAGCAAAGACTTGGTGGTCATTTTTCAGAAGTCTTCTTAATGATTAAAGGGTGAAACCACATAGTAACTAAAGTGTGTTTCAACCTTAAGATTGTTTAGATCTACATAATTACTAGGAATTAAGTAACATGAGGATGAGGAAAGAGAGAACATGTAAGTTTATTTTTTTAATGTTTATTTTTGAAAGAGAGAGAGAGAGCAGGGGAGGTGCAGAGATAGAGAGAGGGAGGCAGAATCCGAAGCAGGCTTGGAGCTTTCGGCGCAGAGCTGGATGCAGGGATCAGACTCACAAACCGTGAGATCATGACCTGAGCCGAGGTTGGATGCTTAACTGACTGAGCCACTCCACGCGCCCCGAGGAAATGTAGGTTTAAGCCAATGTTCTAATAAACCATCGTTCAAATATTTATTAGATGCATCTAATTCAAGGCATTGTTGAAGGCATTAGCATCCTCTGAATAACCATCTGAATAACTCAGAAGTGGTGACATTTTCCCATTTGAGTTGGTATCAGTGGGAAAATAACTTGTTTCCCTGGCTTTGTTTTATAGTCTAGTCTCCTGAGACAAGATCTAGGGCTTGGGAGCCCAGCACAGCTGTCTTCTTCAGGAAAACCTGGAACACCATACTACTCGTTCTCTGCTACAAGTTCCAGGAGAAGGCCACTCCATGACTCTGCAGCACTTGGTAAGCGTGCGTTGTACAACAAACCCTGCCTTAACAAATGTTTTTTTTGTTTAACCCCTTAGTCTTTACTTCTGGCTGTACTTTTATTTAGAAGAAATTTGGTTTCTTAGGTATCATGTTGATAGTAGAGATTATTTGCATAAAATGTTGTATCTGTTAGATACTTAATAAAAAATCAATTTAGTACTCTTGTTTGGTCACCATAAGAGGAACTAAATAGTGAAAATGGGACTGGTTTTTCCTATTATAATAAAAATGTTACGTGCTAATATTAACACCTTATTTTTTACTAAGATTGGTAATAATGCTGAACAGTTTACAAAGTGGTTTTATATACTTTCTCATCTCATTAGTATAACAGACCTGCTAGTCAGTAGATGTAATACTATATTTAACATAAACTGAGGCTCAGGAGGACACATTCATATAATTAGTAGGTGGTTTCCCCAGCATAAAATTAAGATTTTCTGACTCCACGTCCAATATTTTTTGCATATTAGTTGCTTCTACTCCCCAATTTTTTAAAAGTTGAGATAAAATCAATCATATTAGGGGCGCCTGGGTGGCGCAGTCGGTTAAGCGTCCGACTTCAGCCAGGTCACGATCTCGCGCTCCGTGAGTTCGAGCCCCGCGTCAGGCTCTGGGCTGATGGCTCGGAGCCTGGAGCCTGTTTCCGATTCTGTGTCTCCCTCTCTCTCTGCCCCTCCCCCGTTCATGCTGTGTCTCTCTCTGTCCCAAAAATAAATAAACGTTGAAAAAAAAAATTAAAAAAAAAAATCAATCATATTAAAATTCACAATTCAATGATATTTAGTACATTCATAGTGCTGTGCAGCTGTCATCTCGCTCTCCTTTCAAAACATCACCTCAATAGGAAACCCTGCACCTATTAAATTTTGAACTCTCATTTTCTTTAGCTCCCTTCTTTATGTCTTGTACATAGCCTAATGAGGCCAGTCTGTTTTGTGTTGCTGCTGCAGCAAGCCTCAGGTATACTCTTAACACCTTATCCAAGCAGTGTTTAAATGTGGGTATTTTTGGTGATTCCTACCAGGGAATCCTTTGTACAAGAAAATTGAAGTTGTACAGGCTGTTTATAATCAAAGATATGGCAGCTTTTGAAATAAATATAGCCCACTAAAAGAAACTATGCCATAGTTATTTATTCCACAAATACTTGTTGACTGCTTTCAATTCATGTATCTACCTTCTGTCAAACCTAGAGTTTTGTGTAATAGCCCTAGTCCATGGGTCTAGAGTATGCTTGAGGGTATAAAAGGCAAAGATGGTCATGTTTGGAATAGAGAGCTCTGACTAGATGTGCCCCCCTCTCAGCATTATGGGTGATTTAGTATATGTATTGATGAAGTAAGCCCAGATGATTTAGACCAGTATACTGTTTGTTACTAAAGAAATGATAAATTGTAAAGCATCTTTCCTCCATCTTTATGACTTTTGTTTCCTATCAGATGAGTTAGGGTAGGAACATTCATGAGTCTAGATGTGTCAGTGTCACTCTCGAGAAATATCTTGTTAGTATGTTATGTGAGCACATACTGTAACAAAAAGTACTAATGTGGACCAATATACTATTACTAAAAGTTCAGAAAGCTAAGCAACTGAGCTGAGGCTTGGTACCCAGGGAGGCCCACTCATTTCCTATATGAATAACATTTATCATTATTGTCATTCCATTCTTCATTGTTATTTCTCACTCAGCCACTCTTTCTTGGCGTTGCAGTTATTCCTAAAATCTCAGAGTTGAAAGGACTTCAGAGATCATCTACACCCACCTCAGCATCTTCTCAAGCTAGTTAGATGCTTTAGGAAATCAACATTTTGCAAAACAGCATCTAGCTATTTAATTTATAAACACTTTGCCACAGAATTTAATATAAACTAATCATAACAGCTAAAATTTATTGTCACTCTCTGTTACACACTGTCCTGAACATCTTTCATGTATTATCTTTATTACAATAACTCTAAAAGGTGGTATTCCCTTTTCACATCTTAGCAGCTGAAACTCAAAGAGGGTAAAAGTAACTTGCCCACGTTCACATAGCTGCTGTATGGTGCAGCTGAAATTTGAATCCAGCCAGCTTACTCTCTTAACTGTTACAGTTTGCAACCCCTCAGAAGTGAACTCTGAATCCCGAACTCATGATTTTAAATACGACATTATACAAGTAATTGTGTAGTGACAGCCAATGGTGAGATAAAAATATAAAAGAAAAATTTATATTCACATTGGAAGAAAAAACTGTCCTAAACTAAATAGCAACATCTTCTGGTGGTAATTAATCCAAAATAGATTGATGAGCTCCCCACTGACAGGAGCGGTTCAGTTGACTCTCTCGGCATGGAGTATGAGTTTTGCTCAAGGGATGCTGTTTTTATTAGTTGTAAAGAGTTGGGTTCTAGAAAAGCCTCACAAAGAACAAAAAAATTTGCTTCTAAGTTTTATAAATACAGAGTGTGCCAGATGTTGTTTATCTTTGGCACTTTTGTTTCAAGGAAATCTAGGCTGCCTCTTGGTGTAGGGACTTAGATGGTAATGAATGCTTTTCCCCCCTTTGTATTGTATAAATTTTTTCCACATGCTACACATGCTTATAAAGTTGCTTTCTTAGCTTTGCAGCTTCCTGGAATAGTCACTGTAAAGATTCCCAGCCCTAATTTAAATGAATTTCATTCTTTCTTAAACAACCGTGTGTCTTATGTCATATCATTTATGACCCAGGAAAATATCATGCTTGTTTAATTCTCATTTTTACAGTTTGCAAAAATAGTATACTTTACATCATTCTTCTTAATAGTGAACGCTTCTGAAAAATCCTGAGTTTCATCCATTATTTGTGTAAGATTGGAAAACTGTACTTACCACCTTTTTCTTTACAGTAAATAAGATGGACAAGTTTTAAATCTTAAGTTTTACAGATAAGTAAAATCGAAATACCAAGTGAGGCTGGTTGGGTATCTGAAAATACTCATTTTCTCATTTATATCAATAAATTATTTAAGTCTTATAAAGAAACATCCATCCAAGATAAATGACACAATAATCAGTGCTGAATTTGAAGTTTCAACCACACACTGTGGGTTTTTTTTTTTAATGCTTATTTATTTTTGAGAGAGAAGGGGAGAGAGAAACAGTGCAAGCAGGGGAGGGGCTGAGAGAGAGGGAGAGACAGAATCTGAATCGGACTCCAGGCTCAGAGCTGTCAGTGCAGAGTTGGACCTGGGGCTCAAACTCACAAACTGCAAGATCATGACCTGAGCCAAAGTCGGAGGCTTAACCCGCTGGGCCACCCAGGGGCTGCAACCACACATTGTCAAACAGTGGATGTTCTTACAGAATCCTGGATGACATTGTATATGACAGTGCCTGTATGTAATAGTTTATGTAGCATTTCTCTGACATAATTTCAACAATAATTTTTCATTTATTAAATTTTATTTCAAATTTTTAACATGGTTGTAGCATAGCATTAACTTTCAGTTTGTTGACTATGCTTTTAAACCTAACTCTTAATGTGATATGGATACTAAATTTGTTAAACAGTTTTACTATTAAAGTGACCTGTTATACCAGATGCCCCTCTGCAAATGACAGTGCCCAGTGTGGAGCCTGGCACCTAAATGGGTACCTAAGAAATGTTAATTCCCTTCCCTCACACATGCTTTTTGGTTTGTTATTTTCTTTCCTGTTTTGCTTTGCTTTCATCTTCCTAAGCTTATGGGATATGTGTTTCAGAATATATCACTTCATTAGGAGAATTGTTTTGCCCAGGAAACAGTTAGAAAGAATGAAGCCCTCATCTTTATATTCCCTTGCTTATTCCTAAATATTGGAAAGCCAGAAAAGCGCTAGAAGGGAAAACTCTTTCCTATTCACCTGAAGTCTGATGTTTTCTAATATAAATGCTGATGAAATACATTGTTTTCCATATGCAGATCCTTTGCAAGCAAAGAAAGTCAGAAAGGTGCCTCCTGGTTTGCCTTCTTCAGTAAGTACCCATTTTTTTGACTTTGTGGTAAACAACTGATTTCAGCTATTCAGTATTTGCTGGCTGTAAGGATTATTTGATTGGTGTCAGCAGGCACACTTAGCATAGTAACTGTTCACTGTTCAACGGAATCATTGATTGAGATAAATCCACATTTAATGTTAGGTTTTTAGATTTCTCTGCAGTAATTTGTAGCTTACTCATATGCTGTTACTCCATGTCCCTGTCATTTGAATTCCCCTCTTGGGAAGAGGACTGGGCCGGTAGCTGTCAAAGAAGATCTCCTGTACAGGTCTTTTGATGTTTAATTAGTCATTATGTTGCTGAACAGGAGGACAGACAGAGATTAATAGCTGAGAATCTTAGAAATTTACATTTGTAATAATCCCAGTGGAGCTAAAGACATTAAGATTCGGAGGACATGTTCGGCTCAGCTTGCCTCAGTAGGACTGAAGTTATTAATATGCATAAATCACCGAGTCAGATGTTCATTGTGAAGCCCTTGTGGATTTTAAAGCCTTCATTAAGCCTTTCCTAACTTCAGCCTAGCATCAGGAAAGCTTTCAAGCAACTAGTTTGTTGATCCCTCTTTGCTCAAAAAATGTATCCTTTGAGAATAAAGAGCTTGCATGAAGGAGGTTGGAAAGGTTTGGTGAACAGTCATTAATGGCCGTGATAATCTAATACTGTAGGGGTGTTTGTGCTATTAAATATATTTTATTCTTCTAAAGAGTGAAAGTATTTGTAAATGAACCTACATCATAAATCCACCTACATTTAAAAATCTCTGGTGTGAGAAGGGAAATCTTTTTCCTCTCTCCCTTTGCTTTGAACAAATGGGGAGTGGGGTTTTTGGACTGAGGCCCCATGCCTTGTAGGGTACATCTCTTTGTTGTGTAAATGGATGTTGGGCTTTTATTTGGCAGTACTTAACACATGGGCGCAGGTGCTGCTGGATGAGTCACAGCTCATCGAAGTATACACTGAATGGAATATCCGGCTTGGCAAGTAGTAATCTAGAAGGAGCAGCATGGGTCTGAGCTTTATTTTTTATTAAGGCTGAAGTAGAGATATCATCTTTTTGGTTGTTTGCCTTCCTTCTTTCCTGTGTTCTTCCCCCTGCCTTCTCTTCCGTGTGATACATGAAAACTCAGATTTGAAATCCTCTTTGAAACTCAGTTCCAGATGGACTGAGTTTTATGCAGCCTAGGGCAGCTGTGCTCTGAACCTGCAGCCTACCTGGAAGGTTGGATTGCAGCTGCAGGCATTCTTAAAAGCTTTTGCTTGCATAAGCACTTGGGCCCACTAGAGGCTGAATAGCTGCTTGATAAACAAAATGAACACAATGCCTCAAATCATTATTCCCGAAGACAGGAATTTTTTTTCAACAACAGCTAAAAATAGTTGGGCAATTTACATTTTAACAGTTGTATGCTGTGGAGGGGTAGGTGGTTCAACAGTGTAACAGATGATTTCTGCTAGATTAACAGAAATCATATTTAAAACTGACAGAACTGCTAAAACATGTAACTGTGCAATTTTCTTGTAATTTATTGGCATAATTCTATGAAAGTAATAAAAATTAAATTACATATTAATATTTACCAGGACTACACAGGTGAAAAAAAATACAAGGTTTGGAAATGAAAAATTCATCTCATTTGTTCTTAGCCTACCACTGATTTTAAGAAACAGTATATTTTCAGTGTTTCATAGTTTTTTCATGTTTAAAACAAAAGGGCAAACTAGAGCAGTCTGGAAAAAGAATAGACACTGGAGGTAACGGGAATTCCTTCCAGTCCTAATCATAACAGCGTTCACTACTTGGAGGTAGTTCTCTGTATTGTTTCATGTGTCAGGACTAGCCACAGAGAAGGGGAAAGCCACTGAATTCTGAACTTTAATTTCTTTGAGAACCGTTAGAAAATTTTATAAGCCAGGCCTAATTATGTAGTGTGTTACCAATTACCTTACTCAGGATTTATTAGATATTTGTACAGAACAGAACAGAATTCAGTGTTTTCAATTCTATATTTAATATCAGCATCAAATACACACTACTAGAAACCATGATAAAAATAGTATTTAAACATTTTGAATGTCATTAAGCATATATAAAGAATAAATGCATTTTAATTAATGAAAGTATATTTTAAATTAAATGCTATGTTGAAATCTTAAGTTTTTTAAAGAGAATTTTTTTTTTAACTTTAAAAATAGATACTTTGGGGCTCAGTCGGTTGAGCACTCGACTTCGGCTCAGGTCATGATCTCACGGTTCTGAGTTCAGGCCCCATGTCAAGCTCTGTGCTGACAGCTCAGAGCCTGGAACCTGCTTCAGATTCTGTGTCTGCCTCTCTCTTCTGCCCCTCCCCTGCTCATATACTGTCTCTCTCTGTCTCTCTCACTCAAAAATAAATAAACATTTAAAAAAATTTTTTTAAGATACTTTGATAAATATTCCCAAAATAATAAACTTTTTTTTTTTTTTTCAACGTTTATCTATTTTTGGGACAGAGAGAGACAGAGCATGAACGGGGGAGGGGCAGAGAGAGAGGGAGACACAGAATCGGAAACAGGCTCCAGGCTCCGAGCCATCAGCCCAGAGCCCGACGCGGGGCTCGAACTCACGGACCGCGAGATCGTGACCTGGCTGAAGTCGGACGCTTAACCGACTGCGCCACCCAGGCGCCCCCCAAAATAATAAACTTTTGGGAATACTTATGGTTACACTATTTACCTTTTCAGTATCTAAAGCAAATGGGAATTTAAAGTTACAGTTTTCTATTGGAATCCTTTTATTGAAATAAATGTAATTTATAGACCTTAACAATGTAAATTGTAAAAAGGTATAAAAGTGAAAGTGGACTGTGTATATTTTATTTCATGATCATTTGAATATTATACTTACTAAACCAAACTGAAACTTGACAGTAACATCTCAGATTTCACAGTTTGCTGTTTATCCAAAATATCTTTAATCATCTTTAAAATACATGTTACCTTTTTACTAAAGAAACAGTAGAAGAGCTAGGTTAATATTGTACTGCTCATACTGCTGCAGAAAACCAGAGGCAGAGTTACTTAACATGCAAACATTAATAATCTGTACATTTGACCACAGAGCATTGGCCTTTTCTTTTTGTGAACCATGATACAATTTTAGGTTTCATAAGCACAAACCTCAGCTTTTGTATTCCTCTCTGCATAACAACTGAATGGTAATTCCTGTCTGTGGATTAAGATCCAGTAAGTGTTTGTTGGCAACATTAAAGCAGCATGATTAGTAAGGTTAAGAGAATGATCTGCTCAAATGTGCTGGCTCAGTTAGTGATTATTTGTATGACCCTGGACTTGTCAGTCCTTAGAAAATCTGAAGTGGGAAATCTGAAGTTCCTTTCAGGTGTAAAATGCTAAGTACTTATGGTTTTAAAACTGATATACCCAATACATAATCAAAAAGCACAGTGGGCATAGCTTTCTTCCCACTGATAAAAAAAATAATAATAAAGTGATGTCCTTAAGCACATTAAATTTTCCACTTGCTTTTCTACATAGGTTGAAATATTGGACAAAGTAGACCTGTAGCAGTAACATTAGAATGATGCTTAGATATTGAAAAGTCTAACATAGACACACACCATCATTACCTTCAGGGAACTTCCCATATAGTATGAGATACAAGCATTCAGTGATTAATTATATTGCAGTGAGGCAAGTAAAGCTGTATACCAAAGACTCTGGAAACATAGGGTAAGTAGAATGAACCCTACCTTGGGAAGCACTTATGGCTTCATGAGTTGACATTTGAGCTGTGTTTGGAAAGATGAGTAGCAATTCTTCTGTTAGGAGGGAGAATGAACAGACAGGTAAAAGGCATAGACCTAAAAAAAATAAACACATGCTCAGGACACATCTAGAAGTACAGCATTACTGTATTCTATACCAAATACAACTTTTCCTCTGGCAGACCCACTTTCCCACTCCAGAGGAGGACTGGGGAACATATAAAATCACTTCTGATATGAAAAGGTATAAACTGTCATAACAGTCTATGCTAGATAAAGTCCTAAAGTATCCTGGCTGATAAATAATAGGTGGCATTTGTGATTGTTAAGGTTTATCTGGGAGACTTTCAGAAGGCATGGGACTTTGACTTTGTGGGGTGTTTTCCTCCTTTTTTAGGGCTCCTGAACCTCCTCTCCCATTCTCTTAGCCCCCAACTTTGTTCTTATGTGTATACCAGTTGTTTTTTTATCTGTATCAGATTTGTACTAAGATACAACATTTAAGGAGATTGTGAAGAACTGGATAGTGGTAGGGGGCAGTTGTGGTTTTATCCTAGTAATTTTTGAAAAAAAATTGAAACATTTGTCGTGTATTTGTTAACATCCCTTACAGCCCCACTCTGTTAGAGGTGCAGGACTTATATGTATGAGGATCTATGTTAACCATTATCTGTATTATCTTAATCTTTAATCTTTGCACCACACCTCTTTAAGATAACTAAATACACTCGTCTTAAAAATGAGGAAATTGAGGCTCAGATATTAAGTAACTTGCCCAAGATCACACATAAAGTCAAGATTACTATCTAATTTAATATCAAAGACCATTTTCTGTTTATTATGAATGTTAAAACATATTACATATCTTGGTTTACTCATAAAACATCCTATCCTGTTCAGTATATTAAATTTAAACCATAGTTTATTCTGTCAATTACATTTTTGTTGATCAAATTTATTTTTAATTGGCTTCGTTCCTTTAAGGAACCTATCAGCATCTGAAAGGATGATGTAGAAAAGCACAGACTTTCCAGTCCAGCAGATCATGGGTTTTATCTGGCCTCAGCTGCTTTTTATTTTAAAACCTTCGATAACTTGCTTTTAAGTTTTCTAAATCGCCAAGTTTCTATTTGTAAAAAAGGAGATAATGCCTATCTAAAATATTAATGTGTAGGTATCCTGTGCCTAACACATGTCCAGCATATAATAGAC